CATATCTGTCTCACCATTCTTTTGTCAATATGAGATTGTATTATAGTTAGTTTATATTACGCTTCCATATCAGAGTTTCCCATCATATCTCTGCTTTATAATTATTTTCACGTTTGTTTTTTCTAAGAAAGCTTTGATATCATTTATCAATTTAAAAAATTCTGCTATATCAGTTGGATATATAAATTAGTTAGGGAGATGCCTACCATCTTTAGTGAGGCCACTCACTAGATTGTTGCTTTTTCAAAATCCTGTTTCATGTTGAAAAAGATTTTATAAGTTTTTCTTTTCCTTCACTGATGTTAGAAAGTTTCTGAAGCAAATGATGTATAGGTGAAAGACGAATTATTTTGAAATAATCTTCCATGATTTGAGGTGGGGGCATATATCTTTTTCCTTCTGTACTGTATTAGAATTTATGGCAGGCCTTACACCCACCCCTCCTGAATATTCCCAGTACTTTACAGGTAGTTTTGTGTATGTGATCCCCTTTTATCCATTTATTCAGCAAGTATTTTGAGTGTTTATTATGTGCAGTCATTATTCTGGGTGTTCAGACACCCCAGGAATGAAAACAATCTGTTCGGTTTGTTTCTTGTAACAATTTTGAAATAAATAGGTTTATTTCTTTCATTATTTAGATGAAGAATCTGAAACTCCCAATTCCCCAGGATTAGACAATTAACATTAGGTACTCAACAGCTAGCTCTCCTATTGCCCAATTTAGTAGTAGTTGTTTTTCCAGCAAACTATATCTCTGATTCAAGTTATATTCAATAATGGCTTAACTGAGATAGAACTTTTGGGGTATTAAAACCATCTTCAAATCGTCATTGGTTAGTTACAAGTAAAAGAGATTGAGCTGAATGACCACATTTAGTCTAAAAGTTGTGGAAGATTCATTTGTTCATTTTTGTCAACAAATTGAATGCTTGCTGTGTATCTGATTCTTTGATCATACAGTTTTCCTTCTTAAAATCCTCCAGTGTCTGTCATCCAGGAAAATCTATTGTGACTTGCACAGTCTGGTCCCGTCCCCATCCACTTTCATCTCTTATTTGCTCTCCTTCACATAGTGGTCTCACTTTCACAATGTCTTTGCCTCTTGCTTGTCTTCCTTTAATTCTTTCTGTTTGCCTGTTTCCTAGCAGTCTTTGCTGCTGCTGCTTGCCCATGCACTGTGCCTGAGCTGCATGTGTGTGTGATGCAGTCAGCTAATCCATCAAGTTCACAATTACTGCCTTGGTCGATGTCCTCCTCCATCTAGTGAATGCTTCCCCCTCTTTCTCTTCTCCTCTGTGCCCCCAGTCTTGTCTTTTTGTTTTTTATTTCATTCTCTTTCTTTGACATCGGTGAATATTTTTCCTTTACTTTATTCTCGTCCTTCTTTTTTTTATTTCAACCTATAGTTTTCATTTTTTTCTTTACTCAATAAGATTTGGTTTTCAAAACATTTTCTTACTTTGACAACCTTCGATATCAAAAGACAGCCATACTACAGTAATGAGAGAAACTGTGTGGTGCGTGTGTGAATTTGAAAAGGGGGGATGGGGATGCCTGGGTGGCTCAGTCGGTTAAGCATCTGCCTTTGGCTTGGGTCATGATCCCAGGGTCCTGGGATCGAGTCCCGCATCGGGCTCCCTGCTCATCGGGGAGCCTGCTTCTCCCTCTGCCTGCCACTCCCCCTGCTTGTGTTCCCTCTCTCGCTGTGTCTGTCAAATAAATAAAATCTTAAAAAAACGGGGGGGCAGATGGCCTCTATCTGAAATGAGGATGAAGACTTAATTCCATTTAAATATTTTAGAAAAGGTCACAGATCAGAATTCTACTCAGGGGAATAAATGTTATAGCAAGATTTGTGCCAGTGAGCTCTTCCAAACAGTGTAAATGTTAAATACACTGAATTCCATCCACTTCTGTCCCTAATGAGTTGCCCATTTTCTACTCACATTTTCATTTTAATTATTGTTTTGGTGCTTTATAGTACACATTACTTTAGTAGATGTTTTGATATTTTTAATAATGTCATTATCTTGACTTGCAGTAAACTGACTTCTCTCAATGAAGAGTATACCAAAAATAAAACCGAGTATGAGGAAGCCCAGGATGCCATTGTTAAAGAAATTGTCAATATTTCTTCAGGTAAATTTAATAGAACCAATACATAAAATGTTCTGAATATAACCTGGTTTTTAGTAATAGAAAAAATATCAGGATGTTTCAAGAGTGGTTTTTTAAAAAGCTGTTACATACTGTGACTATTATGTTAGGCTACCTATTAAATAATGCATGCTGTATTGTGGTGGGAAAAGTAACTGGAAATAACTTATAAATAGAAAGAGAAGCTAGTGCAGGCTAAGGAATGGGAATACCCTGAAAAACACACTGCAGAAAAATACAAAATTTATTGTAGTTGTAACAAGGAACAGAAACACCAAGGACTAAAGGCACTAATAATCTTAGATTATCTATGGGCCCATGCTCTAAGTTTTGGAAATAAATATCACTGAAAAACAAATAGAAAATTACGCATGAAACAAGCCTTTCCAAGTTCTATGTGCCATTTTGTAGATTTTCAGAGTTCTTCTGGAGAGCACTGTTTGAGAAAATTGCATGGCTTGACACTATGGTATTGCCCTTGGCACAGAATGAAGCACAAGGTGAGGCTGATGTGTTAAACTGGAAGGTTTTGCCTGTCATCACGTGTGTATTGACTATAACCGTTATTGTGCCTTTCAAAAATATACCAAAGAACTACTTCAACCAAGGGATCAAAGTTGGCATCCTCAGTAATGGGACAAATGACATACATATGCTTCCGGATGTGCTGTAGAGGGAAGAGCACAGTATTGCCCATGTGGTATTCTTGACAAAAATGTTTAACCTGATTGTTAACAAGAAGGGAAAATGGAGATAAATTTAGATTGTGGGACATTTTTTTAAGGCTTGTACTCTTTAAAAATGTCTGTGTCATGGTAGCAAAAAAGGTATGGCCAGGATCTGTTCTAGATTATAGGAGACTTAAGGAGACACGACAAGCAAATCAGTAGGTGGTCCTTGAATGGATCCAGGACTAGGTGTTGGGGATGGGAAAGAGCTATCAAGGACACTCAGGACAAATCGGTGAAGTTTAATAAGAGAGAACATGGTACTGGTGTCGTATTTCTTGAGTTTGTATTGTGAGTAAGTAGGAGGATGTCCTCGTTTCCAGGATACTCATGCTGAATTATTGAGTGGTAAAAACTCATTTAATATGTACTTGTGTCATTCTATAAATTATTTTACTATTATGAATTTTATAGTAAATCAAAATAAACATAAAACTTAAAGGTTTTTTTTAAATTTTGTTTATTTGAGAGAGAGCACAAGTGGGGTGGGGAGAGGGAGAGGGAGAAGCAGACTCCCCGCCAAGTAGGGAGCGCGATGCGGGGCTCAGTCCCAGGACCCTGAGATCATGACCCAAGCCAAAGGCAGACACTTAACTGACTGAGCCACCCTGGTGCCCCTAGAGTTACCTTGAATTTAAATGAAACCTTTTCTTGGTCTATACACATTATCTGTATTTAAAAATGTAATGGGTTATCTTTATGGTTCTTTATCTTGCTATTAAATGAGACTAGGTGATGCTGTTAAGAGCTAGGCGATGTGAGATACCTTAAGAGGCTTCAGTTTTCCTTTTTTAAAGTAGCTACAATAAGTTCTCCATTAATGTTTAAGTACTTCTTGCAGGTTCTTGTTCCTACATGATAGGGTAGTGTGAACCATTCCTTTCCTTTTTTTTTTTACACAATACCTGTTACGTAAGACAGGAATAAATTTAAAAGTGGTGAGACAGTAACAGAATTATTTGTATTCAGCCATTCATAAGTTAATTTTTATTTTTAAAACATTTTATCACTTCTATGGGGAACAAGGGAGTCAAAGATGAATCCTATATCCTGCCATTTCATTAATTCTCATGAATGTCCTTTGAAGCTTTTGACACATTGATGCCCGTGTGATAGTTCTACATAATGTATGGGATGTTTTACCAACCCCTCCTCGCTATTAAAATTTCAGAATCTGTTCTATAAATTTTGACCATTTTTATTGTTGAAACACAAATTGCCTGCCACCTGTCAGGGATTTTTTAGTGTACATAATAGCTTTTAGTTTTAATGTTCTAGAAGAGTAGAATCTCATTGAAAGTATTTTAAGTGACAATTATGGATCTGAATTTTGCTAAAATTCAACTGCATGTGGTACTGATAGGGAGGAAAAACTCAAGTAACACTCATATGGTCAGGTTTATACAGGCACAGGCCTTCATGGTCACAATTTTATATCTTACAACCTGGTGTTTGCATGTATCATGATAAGCAGCTGTGTGTTTTCTATTTTAATGGATTTTGGTAAGGGAGGGCATCACACTCTTCTTATTTTTGAAGTCTGTTCATAGTAGGGGAAGATGTAGTAATATGTTTTAACCTTGGAGGTTTTAGGTGTTCCTTTGAAGTTTAGTTATGGCAAACTTCTGTTAATTTTTTAAGTATATAAATTAGAAAATGGATTTTAAATTCCTAAATAGGGAAGTTAAATTTATTCCTCTAACTGCTTATATGTATTTTCTTTATTCAGTATTTCTGTGCACATTTTCTATTTTTATACAGGCTATGTAGAACCAATGCAGACGCTCAATGATGTGTTAGCTCAGCTAGATGCTGTTGTCAGCTTTGCACATGTGTCAAATGGAGCACCTGTTCCATATGTACGACCGGTCATTTTGGAGAAAGGACAAGGGAAAATTACATTGAAAGCATCCAGACATGCTTGTGTTGAAGTTCAAGATGAAGTTGCATTTATTCCTAATGATGTTCACTTTGAAAAAGATAAACAGATGTTCCACATCATTACTGGTAATATATAAATAAATAAAACAAAAAAAACCCCACCTAATTTATGGGCTTTTTTGGGGGGGGTAATGTTTCCCCTTTTTTATGTTGGAGTGGAAATATTTAAAACTGATGAAGAAAATCCTAGTTCTTGACGTTAGAAACGGAACATGTTATTCATCCTAGTTAGTACTATGTTCACATTTGGGTTAGAGGGAAGATTTGGAAGGAAGGGGAGGCCTTAGGAGTGAAAGTCATCTTTATATGAAACTTCTGTTCCAGGGGTTTAGTGCATTTAAAAATGAACATGCCTTCAAAGCCAGACCTTTTGATAGTGCGTCATTTAAGGTCAAGCAGAACTGACTGCTGGAATGACCTCAGCCTAGGGTAGCAATTCTTTTAAAGACATGGGACTGTATTCGTGTGAAATATGAAAAAAAGTTTGCTTATAGACTAATGCAGCCTGTCTCTCAAGCTGAAGTATTTTTAGATCTTAACCAACCAGATTCTAGAGAACAAAAGTGGAGGGGGTAGTCTTTGACCAGATATATTTGGGAAACAGTCAGAGATAATATTCTAGTTCCCCAAATGGATTTTCAAGTTGTTGATATGATCTAACCCAGACAAATAAATTATACTTTAGCGAAAAATAGGGTTGTGTCTTAGGGCTTTAGTGTGGAATTTAAGCGATTTGAAGGATTAGACCATACTGACCCATTCACTAATAGCCTCATTTATTAATGAATTACTGTGTTTAGTTAATCAATTAGATGTGTACTACTTTTCTGGATGACAAAAAATTATCGTGCAGGCAGTTGTATGAGCTGTGGGAAAATCTGTGGTTCTTCTAGGCAAATTATAGGTAAGGTATATTTTTTATGGTCCTGTCGATGAAGGGTGCAGTGTAGGTTTGTCTGAAGGGAGAATAGCATTACTCTGGCAGTTGATGGTTCTGCTGCTTATATGCCGTATCTGTACGACCAGGTGATTAGTCACCAAAATGCGATTTAGGACTAGCAATTTATTAGTGGCAGAAATAAATGAATAATCTTGCTTTTTGATGTAATTTATTTTAAAGGCCCCAATATGGGAGGTAAATCCACATATATTCGCCAAACTGGGGTGATCGTTCTCATGGCCCAGATTGGGTGTTTTGTGCCATGTGAGTCAGCAGAAGTGTCCATTGTGGACTGCATCCTGGCCCGTGTAGGGGCTGGCGACAGTCAGTTGAAAGGAGTCTCCACATTCATGGCTGAAATGCTAGAAACTGCTTCTATTCTCAGGTGAGTGATTTTCCCAGTCCTCTCAAAATGGAAATGAATGTCCCTGTCCTGTTAGAAGTACATTTGCAGATTCATCGATAAAACATCGGAGAACCTTTATCTAGTTTAATAGTTTTCTTGTGAACTTCATGCACTTTATATTATCTTAAAAGGGTAATTGTTAATAGTTGAGGAAAGCTTTGATTTTTAAATTTGTCTTAAGGTTTTTGGTAGTTGTTCGCCTTATAACCCCCACCACTGCCATGCTTTTGCTTGAACTGTTCACGGTACCTGGAATGTTTACCCATGTCCTTTCCAATCTTTAAAGGCCTTAGTGACAGAAATTCTACTTCTCTGATGACTTTCCTTGTCACATAAGCCTCAGGTCTTGGGTATTTCTTCTCTGAACTCTTTGACATGCCTGTAATTACTCGGTTTTTTGTTTTAGGGGTTACTGAAATCTTTTGTCTTTATTTCATTTTTTTAAGACACTTCTTTAAAGGTAGAGAAGCTATCCCTTCCGTTTCTTGGTGTCTTCTAAAGCACATCACATATAGTAGATGCCTAGTAAATTACTATTCATTGTTTGTGGGGAATTATAGAAGCAGTACAAATGTTTGGTATAATAATTGGTCAACAAGCGGGCGCCTGGGTGGCTCAGTTGGTTAAGCAACTGCCTTCGGCTCAGGTCATGATCCTGGAGTCCCGGGATCGAGTCTCACGTCGGGCTCCCTGCTCAGCGGGGGGTCTGCTTCTCCCTCTGACCCTCTCCCCTCTCGTGCTCTCTGTCTCTCATTCTCTCTCTCAAATAAATAAATAAAAAATCTTTAAAAAAAAAAAAAAAACTGGTCAACAAGCTAATATTCATAACTTAAAAATTAAAGAAATAAGCAAAAGATGTCAGTGGCAATTCACAGAAAACAAATGACCGGTAAGCACATGAAGAACTGTTGCATTCTTGGGGTGCCTGGGGGGCTCAGTCAGATAAACGTGCAACTCTCGATCTCAGCTCATGTCTTTTTTTTTTTTTTAATGTTATGTTAATTCAGCTCATGTCTTGATCTGAGGGTCGTGAGTTCAAGCCCCACATTGGGCTCCATGCTGGGTGTGGAGCCTACTTTAAAAAAAAAAAAAAAGTACTGTTGCATTCTCTAATTGAGGGGAAAAAAAAAAATCCTCTCCTTACATTTGGTTAAAGAAGAGAAAAGGAAGAATGCTAATATCTGATTGGTAGGGCTACGGCCATCGTGCACCAGCTGCGTGTCCATAACCTGACACCCTTGTGCCATCTTCATGCGGTATTTTCTAAAATCTGGGCTGGTTTGATTGGCAAGAAATGAATGATAGCTGATTCAGAAATTCTTCGATTACTAGTGAGATTGGTAATTTAAAAAATATTTATTCACTATTTGTTTCCTTTTCCATCAGTTGTTTATGACCATGCCCGTTCTCTTTTTTTAATTTACTATTGAATTTTTTATATATTAAGATGATCTTTTATGTTTGTGGCACATCTTTCCCAATGTATTGCCTTAGTTTTGTTTTTTTTTTTGCATTATCACACATCATGGGTGATTTTCATGTAATTATGTGTTTCAGGTCTGCAACCAAAGATTCTTTAATAATTATAGATGAATTGGGGAGAGGAACCTCTACCTATGATGGATTTGGATTAGCGTGGGCTATATCAGAGTACATCGCAACAAAGATTGGTGCTTTTTGCATGTTTGCAACACATTTTCATGAACTTACTGCCTTGGCCAATCAGATACCAACTGTTAATAATCTACATGTCACAGCACTAACTACTGAAGAGACCTTAACTATGCTCTATCAGGTGAAGAAAGGTGAGTGCATACCACTGGTGTACTGTGAACTCAGGTGTGGCAGTGGGAAAGTTCTACCCATGACATCATCAGTCATTTCCTGATTCTGAGTATGAATTATTGATGTTTGTACAGAACACATTTACTCTTAGTTCATAATCTGGCTACAAGGACAGGGTACATTATATTTCTGTGTCTCATAATAGGACCACTCATTATAAGACAGTTGCAGAAAGAATAACTCCTGCTCTTCAACATTACCACAGAGGGTTTTGTACTGCCTCCCATGGCAGCCTGATTTCTTGTCAAAAGTATCTACTAGATAGTAGCAATAATAACCTTTGAAGTTCCAGGGCTCTTATGCTGCTTAAGGAACCATTTATTATAATTATCTCATTGTATTTTTAAGGGTGTGTTACATAAACAGGCTCATTTAAAGGTAGGGTTTCCACAAATCCTGAAATTGTTAGTAGTTCTCACATAGGGAATGACTCATCTTTTCGGAAAAGTTTGTCATTTGTGGGTCTGACAGCTAATGAGATTTACCAAATTGGTGAGATTAATGTGCTATAAAGTTTTTGCTGCCTAGACATTTCACCAGTCATTGGAATAACTTTTTCAGATAGCTTTCTGATTTACCAAGAACACATTTTCTTGCAATCACTTGGTTGCACAGAAGTACAATATTATTTTTGGTTCTTTTATCCTTTGTTGCTTATGCTTCAGTGGGAATTCTTTTGACTTACTGTGTTTATTATTATTATTGATATAAAACACAGATACTTTTAGTTGGACCTGGCATTTAGCATGAAGTTGAAGTTTTGCTTTTTGTTTTGTGTTTTGTATGATAAATGGGTTCAGAATTTGATTTAATTATTAGAGAGAGTGAGACCATGCGAGGGGGCGGGGAGGGACAGAGGGAGAGAATCATCCCCGCTGAGCATGGGGACTACTGTGAGGCTCGATCTCACGACCCCCACAAAATCATGCCTGAGCTGAAACCAAGTCAGACGCTTAACCGACTGAGCCACCCAGGCGCCCCAAGAAGTGGGTTCAGAATTTAATTTTTAATTTTTTTTTTTTTTTTTAAGATTCTCTTTATTTATTTGACACAGAGGGAGTGAGAGAGAGAGCACGAGTAGGGGACAGAGGGAGAGGGAGAAGCAGACTCCTCACTGAGCAGGGAGCCCAACGAGGGGCTTGATCCCAGGACCCTGGGATTATGACCTGAGCCAAAGGCAGACGCTTAACCAAATGGGCCACCCAGGCTCCCCTGGGTTCAGAATTTTAAAAGACTAGATGACCTGAGAGAAGATAGGAATAAATCCATCCGTCGCTGTGGATGTTTATCAACATTTGCTTCTATTTTATTTTTGTTTGTTTCTCTTAGTTGTGCAGAGTATCCAGCCCAGAGTGCATGGGATATATAACTAGGCCAAAAAAATTTTTATAGTTGATACATAGTTGAGGCAAAAAATGGAAGCTCCATGATAACTCTGAGCATCATTTGTATTAAATGTCTGGAAGGAATGTTGTAAGTCCATTTATTTTCTGCAAATGGGGATGAAGATAAGCTACCTAGTCTACAAAATTTACTGGTAATATGAGTCTAAAATTCCATTGTCATGTGTTTGCAGTAGTTTAGAATCAGAATAAGATTATGTAAGACTGGTAAGTAACTTTTCTAAGACCGGTATTGTAAATATTTGTATTTATCCAGCCAATTTCCTGAAGTCACTATCTCCAGAAAATGACGTAGGCAGATCTAGAGGATGGACTGTTCAGTAACAAGCCATATATTTTGAATAAAATGCTCTTAATTAGTGACACACATTTATCTTGTTTTTTTTTTTCTTCGTACTTTATTTAATTCCTCCCTTATGAAATGAGAAAACCTCAGAGGGATAATTGAGTTGATTAATTTTTCTTCAGATTCTGATACTTGTCCAGACCTCTGAGGATTTGCTATCAAGCTTTTTTGGGGGGTATTTTTATTTTTCCTACTGCATTTGTCAAGGATAAAACAAAACACTGTGTGCCAAGGCATAATTACTTTCCACTGAAAGCTTAATTAAAATTCCTTCGTCTAGGGCGCCTGGGTGGCTCAGTTGGTTAAGCGACTGCCTTCGGCTCAGGTCATGATCCTGGAGTCCCTGGATCGAGTCCCGCATCGGGCTCCCTGCTCGGCAGGGAGTCTGCTTCTCCCTCTGACCCTCCCCCCTCTCATGTGCTCTCTCTCATTCTCTCTCTCTCAAATAAATAAATAAAAATCTTTTAAAAAAAAAAAAAATTCCTTCGTCTAAGTTACTGTGAAACATTTGGCTAATGTATTTGAAATACAAAATTAAGTTTCCAAATGACAAGGTGAGATGGATAAGTTCTATTTACATCAGTTGCTGTCTCTTTCTGCCCTGCTCCTCACAACCCCCAAATTTCTTCTAGGTGTCTGTGATCAGAGTTTTGGGATTCACGTTGCAGAGCTTGCAAATTTCCCTAGGCATGTCATAGAGTGTGCTAGACAGAAAGCTCTGGAACTAGAGGAGTTTCAGAATATCAGAGAATCAGAAGGATATGATGACATGGAACCAGCAGCAAAGAGGTGCTATCTGGAAAGAGAGGTTTGTCGCATTGTGTTTGTAATTATTTAATCCTGTGTTGTTAGATCTGTCAGGTCCCGTGTGATTCTAATACTTAATCATTCATTGTTGCCTTTCACTTAGATTTCTTTGCTTGGCGAAGACTTCATCTATATCGTTTTTGGTTTCTGCACTATGTACATGACCAAAAGAGAGCATGTCAATACCACATTTTAAATGTAGGAGGACAGGAATATTAGTCTAGGTTTAAAGTAAGTAATTCAAAGGAGTTACAGATGTCCAAGCCCTTTTTTGATTACTTCATAAACAAATAGGTCAAGTCCAGTTAATTGCACATTTACTCAGTTAATTGCTTAGTTAAGGGACTAACAAAAAAATAAACACAGTTCTGCCTTCCAGTTGTCTAGAATCTATTTGGGGAGATAATAATGAACATGTCAAGGAGAATAATGCGGTATATGACATGTTTACTCTACAAAGCTCTTTGTGGGCAGGATGTTTCAGTTCTCATGCGAGAAGTGCATCTTAAGTTAGGCCTTCTGAGTGATGGGTGAAAATCACACAGAAAGGTACAGCATATGCCTGATGTATATTTTTAAAAGTAAAGGATAATTCTCTGCAATAATGAAAATAAAAGGATCTTAATTCACTGGTGGGTCCTGGCAGCATTTACTGTGGTTATGCATTGTGAGAACTTCTTGTCATGTTTTAGCTTTTAGCCAGTGAGTTTTTTGATGTTCTTACCTGAAGGATAGATAATTGTTACAGTAATAGATGAGCATGTATGATTTTTAAGCTTAAAAGGTATAGTTTTGTCTGTTGTACCTGTGTAGGCAGGACGAATGTATTCTATCTTGCTCCTAGTTTAAGTTAGGGAGGTTGCTTTGGAATGGTCTTGTTAGGAGCAACACAGTGATCTGGGGTTAGGTAGGCTCTGTTATGTAATCCCTGGTTTCCAACTAGAACAGAAACCATGTACTTTTGATAATATTAATTACATTGAATTTTGAAAAAACTTTAAGCTAAGGGAGATGCATAACTATGAATGTTAAGTCTAGATCCTGTCTGTATTTCAAAAAGAGTACACTTGTTATTTAATAGAGAAATATATCTTCTTTACCTTACCATTTGGATATCTACCTTTCAACCCTTAAGGTACTTGCTACCAACTAGCTCTGTGTATGAAAAGGAGACTTTTTAGTTCTGCTTCCTATGTGATGATGAACATTTACATAGTACTTACCCTTTGCCAGGCACTGTTCTAAGCACTTCTGAGCACACATATTCACTCTCCAGTTCTCTCAACAGCCCTGTGGGGTTGGTAATATCATCCCCATGTATGAATGAGGAATGTGGGTTAAGGAATTTCCCCACGATCACATGGCAAGTAATGGTCATGCTCTTTAGAATGCCAGTAACTGGCCAGTAAAATAGTAATTTAAAAATTCTGTGTGTATGCGAGTACTGAATTTTCAGGGACTATCTAGGCATTACAGTATTTATAAACCTTGAGTTCTTTTTCTCCCAGAAGATTAAGTTTATATATCGATTATAAAGGGTGACAGATTTGGGAACTACTAAAATACTGAGCCCCTTTTCATTAGCAGTTGAGAATGTATTTATAAATACCCTTTAATAACTTGCTATGATGAAATGTGGTCAACTAAGGGCTTTCTATATATTCTGGATAGTGCACGCTTAAAATTTAAAGAATGTTCTTTGAATATTGGGTGGTGTGTTTAGATTGAAATTTAATGAAACAATTCATTACAATTTATTGTGACTTTTTAGAGAGATTTTAAAGACTAATGGAGCATTCATATGTCTTTCAGCAAGGTGAAAAAATTATTCAGGAGTTTTTATCCAAGGTGAAGCAAGTGCCTTTTACTGAAATGTCAGAAGAAAACATCACAATGAAGCTGAAACAGCTGAAAGCTGAGGTAATAGCAAAGAATAATAGTTTTGTAAATGAAATCATTTCACGAATCAAAGTTACTACATGAGAAAATCCCACCAAAGGAGCGAAGAGAATACTGATAAGCTGTTATCTGTATCACTTTTGTATTGTTTTATATTAACCCTGTTTTCATAGTGCTGGCAATTTGAGACCCATGGGATATCAACTTAATAAAGTATTTAGTAATACTTGGAGTACATTTTCAAAGATTTTTATTTTGGAAGAATGAGAGCTGTGGCTGAGGAATACTTAAATGGACACGGGCAATAGTAGGTGGTGTGTTGCATTTTATAAATAAAGTCATGTAGTTTGTGGAATTTGAAATGCGTTGTGTTTCTTTGTGATAGGACATGTATACATCTTTCTTCCCAAATGATATGGAAAAAGCAAGTTGCACCCAAAGACTTTGCAAAAATAAAGGCTGTTAAAGCTACAAGGAACCATGGAAATCATTTCCATTGATCTCCACAGTGTCCATATGTTGGCAGGAGCCAGGTTGGCTGCATACTCATTAGCCAAGGAATTTACTATAAACCCGAAGTCCTAGTGTGATCCTCCTGCCTGCCTGCCGTTCTCCCACCTCTCTCTGTGGGAGGACTTAGAAATCTGCATTTTAATAAAACCTTTCAGATTGGGAACCTGATTTAGTCTGCTTCTCTTACTTTACAGGACAGAGATGAAGTGGTTAAGCATTAGTGGCTGGCCCTGCTGAATATGGGTGGGGAGGACCATCTTTCCAATAAATGATGATGGGATAGCCGTATAAGAACAAAATGAAATTGGATCCCTACTCCATATATAAAAATGAACTCCAGTGAATTTTTGACCTAATGTATAAGCAAAACTGGAAAGCTTTTAGTGTTTAGTTTTGTAGTTCTATAGAAAATAATACAGGGAAATATATTTTCATGATTTGGCTTTGGGAAAGATGTCTTTTTTTTTTTTTTTAAGATTTTATTTATTTGAGAGAGAGAGAATGAGAGAGAGGAGGGTCAGAAGGAGAAGTAGACTCCCCGCTGAGCAGGGAGCCCGATGTGGGACTCGATCCCGAGACTCCAGGATCATGACCTGAGCCGAAGGCAGCCGCTTAACCAACTGAGCCACCCAGGCACCCTGGGAAAGATGTCTTAAGTCACAACACCATTCACTCAGCTATATTGAAACTATTTCTTTTCATTAAAAGGCGTCACATAGTGAAAAGACTAGATCCATGATGGGAGAATATATTGGTACTATGTAAGATATCAAAGGATTTATTACCAGAATATATAAAGAACTACTCTATACAGTTACTAAGAAAATGGGCATTTAAGAGTCTTAGTACATCTCAATAACAAAAAGACAATCCAGTTAAAAGCCAAAGGATCTGAAGAGATACTTTTCCAAGGAAGATGTACACATGGCCAATAAGCGCGTGAAAAGGTACAGGTTACCATGGGGAGAGGCAAATCAAAACCACAGTGAGCTTCCACTTCACACGCATTAGGACAGCTAAGATCAAAAGCAGATAACAAGTATTGATGAGGATGTGGAGGAATTGGAGTTTTCATACACTGAGAAATATAAATGGTACAGTCACTTTGGAAAATAGGCTGGCATTTTCTCAGTTACCATATGACTCGGCATTTCCATCCCTAGGTATATATCCAAGAGAAACACAAAAACTTGTGCACAAAAGTTTATAGCAGGATTATTCATAATAACCAAAAAGTGGAAGCACCCCAAATGGCCAAGGCCAATGGATGAATTAAGGAGCATACAAAATGTGGGATACCTATATGGTGGAATATTATTTTGCCATAAAAGGACTGAAAGACTTCTACGTGCTACATCTTGGATGAGCGTGGATGGACATGAGTGATGAAGCCAGGTACAAGAGTTTATGTATTATATGATTCCATTAATACGAGAGTCCAGAATATAAAAAACTATAGAAAGAGTAGTTTAGCAGTTGCACAGGGCTGGTGTGCAGAAAACGGGTAGCTAAGGAGGTGATACGATAGTTAAAGTTTTGGCTTTTTTTTTTTTTTTCTTAAGATTTTATTTACTTGACAGAAACACAGCAAGAGAGGGAACACAAGCAGGGGGAGTGGGAGAGGGAGAAGCAGGCTTCCTGCCCAGCAGAGAGCCCGATGCGGGGCTTGATCCCGGGACCCTGGGACCATGACCTGAGCTGAAGGCAGACATTTAATGACTGAGCCACCTAGGTGCCCTAAAGTTTCTTTTTGAAATGAAAATGTTCTAAAACTGTTAATTGTTGCATCTGTCTGAGTATACCAAAAGCCACTGAATTGTATACTTTAAATGGATGCATTGTGTGGTGTTTGAATTATATCTCCATAAAACTTGGTTCAGAAAAAGTTCAGGGACTTTACCCAAGAGAAATCTAAATGGTCTGTGCACATGAAAAGATTTTCAATCACCATTTAGAAAAATGAAAATGAAAACTGTGCTGGGTTACCCCCCCGCCACTAGACTGACAGTCATTTAAAGTGTGACAGCGCCAACTGTTGGTGAGGATGTGACATGACCACACTGCTGGTGGGAATAATTTTCTAGTATGTGGAAAATATGCACAGGACCCAGCAAATCTCCTAGGTGCATACTCTAGAAATGCTTGGACATGTTGTACTACGATGAGTATACAAAAATGTTTGTGATAGACCCTAGCTGGAAACAACCCAGCTCTGGAAATTAACTACAGCTCTACAAAACATCCTGGATGGAATCTTAACAATAAGCAAAAGAAGTGAGAGATAGGAATAATAGTTTTTTCCCCACTCGGTTGAAGTTGAAGAATAGGTAAATACTGTTTGGTGGTGCATTCATAGGGGCTGAGACTAAAGAACAAGAACGTTGAATGTGGAAGTCAGAAGAGTGGTTTGTTTCTGGAGGCCCGGGTACTGAGGGGTAGGCGGCCCCTAGCGGGCTTCTGGAGTGCTATAGCATTCTTTCTTCTGACCCGGGTGGTGGTTGTGCACGCGCTTTATAGTTCCTGTTAAACTGCCATTATGTTTGTTATGAGAACAAATGAAAATTTAAGACCCAATGGGCCCTTTAAAATGCTCATTTTAATTTACTGTGCTCTTTTTCATCATCGACAGTTTAGGATGAGTTATATATCAGTTTTTCGTTTCTGGATACCAAAAGCTTGGGAAGAAGGTAAACTTAGGAAGAATTTAAATGTGGAAATTTTTATTGGTGACAAAATCATTTAGTCACTTCCAAATGGAAGACTGTCATATAATTCAAAAGCAATTTTAAAATTCCAGTGAAATATTTCGTCCCTTGCTTAGCGGGGAAAGAATGTTTTTAGATTGCTACACAAAAGCATGCATAAAACAGAAATCAGCCCATGGTTTTAGTTGTTAGCCCTACAAGAAACGGGGGGGTGGGGGGGAGGGGGTGTTGATGCTAAGAAAACGTAGTCTATCAAGCTCTGATAAATCAGGCGGCTTTCATTTCTCTAAGAGATTTAGTGTTTAGTTGTAAGATGTTTTTGAAAATGACAAATACATAATGGAGCCCTTTGAGATATTTCAGGCCTAAGCTGTGCTTATTACATGAATATGCTAATGAAGCAACCAGGCCTTCAATGAGAGTCTCCTTCCTTTTGGAATGGTGGATGTAAAGCAAAAGACCCTTGCATTTAAAAATTGTAATTGTGATGTGGTTTGGGTTTTCTTCACTCAGACATGAACTTGGATAATACCGGAGTAAAGTCGAATATATATTTTCCAAGATTTAGAACTTAACCATACTGTTACCATGAAATCTGTGGGCCATATAACCATGTTTCTGAGAAAACAGGATTTTGCATTTTTTAAAAGATCGCACTAAAGATCCATCCAAGTTGCAATTGTTTTTGTAATTAATTTGATTTCTTCCCTTAAAATACTGTTGTGAGGATAAAAACTAACAGAACAGAAGAAAGATGTTTTAGGATAAATATATTTAAAGAATAACTTTTCCCCCTTAAAATCTCAATGTTCCACATACTAAGCACATCCTGTTAGACTTAAGTATTAAATGCATCTTCTATCCTTGGTCTTTCTGCATTTAGCTTTTTTGGGAAGTATGTTTTTACCCACAGCATATGGTATAGCTGCTGATTCAGTATTGAGTGGCTCTTTAAGCTTGTTAGTTACATTCTGTTGATCAGAATGGTGCGCTGAACAGTCAGAAGAAAAACCGGTTCCTGGTCTGAAATAAATTAAACACTGTTAATCAGCTTCTGAAGAAGAACAAATGAGTAAAGGGGATTTTGTAAGGAAATCTAACACTGCCTTCCTGGGCGCAGCGTGTTTGGGTCAGGGGGATTTGGTGTGGCCGGGGACGGTGATGAAAAATGCCCAGAGTGATACCCACAGTTTGAGGCTAAACCTGGAAGTGGAGCCCGAATTAAAATAATACTTTTCTGCCTGCTGTTCTCCCCACTCCACTTTCCTTGATAGAGCGAGCTGCAGCTTTCTCTTAATTCTGCTTCAGAATTTATCCATGTGGCCTTCAGATGTCTGAACTCTGTGCTGCCGAGCTTGCGTGTCACAGAGGAGTCCCTTGTAGGAAACGGCTCGTTGCTGGTAGCCATGCCTCCCGCCCGCCGCAGAGGGAAATGGGGAGCCCTCGCCTTGCCTTTGACACAGCAGTTTCCCCACTTCCCTGGAAGCAGTGTTTCATGGTGTCAGACAACATTCAGAACATGGTCCAAATTCAATGTATGTTAGCATATTTTTGCTTTGGCTTGTGGTTTGTCCAACAGAAGTGCCCACACACATCTTTCATCCAGCTCTGTGGGAAATTCAGCAGTGGCACGAACAATATGGGATGTTGGGCAGCCTTCACTGGACCATCCTGCTCTTACTTCTAGGCTTGGTGAATAGAAGACCACACTGCTGTTGCCTTTGGTTCACTTCAAAGAGGTCAAGAGAAATTATAAACTCCCTTAAATGGTTAAATTGAGAAGGAAAGGAAAACTCTCAGTGGACAATTCATTAGCTCTAACAAAAGAACAATGGCAATGAGTCCCTTGGTGTTCAGAAGCAACCAGTAAGTTTAACCATAGCGGTTAACATGTATCATCACACTATTACTATTATGTTTATTTCCTAGAATCTTGGTGACACTTATAACTGGCAGCCAGTTTAATTTTATAAATAATCTTGAATGGAAATAGCTTAAAACCAAACTAAGCATAGTTAAATCTAGGACAGTGTAACTATTTTCAGTTCAGACACCGATCTGGAATTTTAGTTTGCATTGTCCGTCCAGCAAGATGTATGTTTATTTTCTCTGTCTTTTCTTCACATAATGATCAGGACTTCCTA